GCGGAGCTCCTGAAGCTCAACGAGAAGATCGCCATATTGCACGGCGGCTCCGACGCCGAGTGCAGCTCGGTGCGGCGGAGGCGCGCCACGGGCAAAGGAAGAGCGGTGGAGTCGGGTGGACCTGGACTACTGTGGATGGTTGCGAAATCCGTAAATTCGCACCACCGTTCAGAAACCCTGGTTGAAACCACGACGTTTGTTGGTATTTACGTTGGAATCGCCTCATTCCAGGGTTTCTGAACGGTGCGAACTGGATTTCGCAACCATCCACAGTAGGTCAGAAAGGATTTGTCATGAAATGGGAGGCAGGGGGAGGCGGGAGGGAGCCCAATTTGGCTCTCAAGCCCTGGCCTTGAGGCCTCCCTCCCGCTGCCCCTCCCCAGGCCCCGTGAGGGCCATAGGAACCATGATTTAAGTCTTTGGGCGAAAGACTTTGGGGCTGGACATTTACTGCTGTGATTTTTTCAGGCCTCAAAGAAACGAGGGAATGAGAGCAACCGGCGTTACCGTTCTTTACATCCCTTTTTGTGGGAGTCTTTTTTACATGTGATACTATTTTTGGAGTTGGTTTAAAAAGGAAACAGCAGGGAAACTAACCTTGCTGTTTTTTCCCTACAAAAGACACACCCTTGTGGGTTCCCTAAGGTACGTGGATTGGGCAAAACGCAGAGCAAAGGTTTGCACGCTCATGCTATTTGTTTTTGGGACACAACCCGACGCTGTGAATTTGCTCGGAATGTCAGCCAACACTCTAGTTGCAAATCGGCTTTTAGAGCCAGTTAAAGCTGTTTCAAAGTAATATGGGCTACTTCAATAGGGACAAGTGCCATGAACGCCGACAATGTCGAGATGTGTTTGTTTGATGGGACGAGGTTGGTAGAAGCGACAACTTACTGGGACACCACACTGAAAGCATGCCTGCTCGGCACGAAATCCAGAGTAAAATGATTCAAACCCTTGAAGCTTCGGCACAACACTTGCCATGTTTTGGGGGACGCGTGTTTGTTCAACCAAGTGGCACCAGGTGTACGGCGCAATGAGCTAAAGGCGCAGAAGAAAGTCCAGTTGAGGTGGCTGCGGCGCATCTAGGTCTGAGGTTTGTCATAGCGAAAGCAGGCGCTGGCGTGTGGCCACGGAGCTTGAAGGAAGCAATCCCAAGGATTCCTCCAAACGCCTGGGGTTCCCATGTTTTTTGCGGTGTGACCTGCTCTTCCTTTGGGCTTCCTCTTTGCCCACCCATTTTTCGCCTTATGAACCCCAGGTCCTTTGGGCAGAGCTTCTCAGAAGCTTGTTGGAATCCCACGCACCTCTTGTTGGAACAAATCAGCCCCTGTCACCTCTGAAGGCGAACTGGAAGGGTCTCTTTTTTTCAGGGACCCCCCCCCCACAATGTTTGTTTTGCTGCTGGCTTTCCATTAAAACCCGCCAAAGAAAGGGGACTCCCTCACCCAAAAAATCTGGACCCGTCCGTGAGGTACTCTCAGATCTTCCGGTCCGAGCTGAACGCTGAGGGCCCTGTGACCTTCACCAGGAACCGATGGGGTCCGAAAATCTCCATGCTGTGCAGGAGTCATAGGGGGACTTGCCGTGGATGGTTGAAATGGAAATCCAGAAATTGCACCACCGTTCAGAAACGCTGGAATGATGCGATTCCAATGTAAATACCGAGAAAAACAATGGTTTCCACTGGTTTCTTAGGTGGTGCTGGATTTCGTCCGTCCACAGTATGGTTGGTTCAATTGGGCAAAGTTCTTGGGTTTTGTGAGAAACCAGGGAAATGTTGGGTGGCCTAGGATGAATATTGTCCGTCACTCATGGAACTGGTTGAAGGAAAACTGGGTTGGCCACATTCTGTGATACCAAAGAAGTCCTCCTTGTGACGAGATAGTCATGGGGATGGCCTCCCTTGGTAGTATCGCAGAAAGCGTGATCTTCCACAATGGTGCAATCAATTCGGTATCCTTCTTTCCTGGTATCACAGAATCCAGGAACGCCGCCGGGTTTGTGGGACGGTTAGTTGGCTCCCACTGTGATAGCAGACAACCTCAGCTACAAATGGAGACTTAGTCACTAAGGAAGGCCTTAGATTTGTCAGAAGTGGGCAATTCCCACAACCTTCTTGGAAGTGGACCGAAACTGAAGCTACTGCGGGTCTGCGATTGTAAAACCAGGCAGTTTACCTCACGACACGGATTCCCTTGGCCACTTGCGACCCCTTGTGTAGGTCGCACATCCCTGGATATCGATTTAAAGTCGTGGAAGTATCTCGGAATACTGCTCAAAGAGGGCAATAACCATGGAACATGTGGTATTCGTCCCACTTTCTGTGATTTTTGAGGAAGGTTCGCGGGGTAATCGCACTCCGGCCACATCGCACTGCGACCTTGGAAAACTGGCTTGGTCGCAGCTCATGGGAACGGCCCCCCATGTTTCACATGGCGAGTCGCAGGTTCCGGCGGTACATGTACCGCACCCTGGACGCGCTAGATCCCGATGAGCCCACCCAGGCGCAAGGATGGGGCCTCCAAATGGGCGGCACGGTCTTTTTTTGGAGCTATCCGGTTTGGTGGCTTTAAAGGAAACCCAGTGTGTTTGTCGGTTTTTTTGGTTGGATGGGGGGGTCCCTGAAAAGAATGACAAAAATAAAAATCCGGGGGGGAGGTCCCTGAAAAAAAATGACAATGAGCGCTTATGGCAACCCCAAGTTGTTGGTGTGCCGACCATTTGGGAAATCAGTCCACAGAGAGAGCGTGGCCTCACACATGGACATGTAAGAACAAAATGTAAGAATCCTAACGGCTCCGAGCCCCGAAATGACCAGGGCTCCTTTTGCTTTGCCGTTAGCTCCAAGAAGGGCACCCTCAATACATACAAACACACGAAAAGAGCCATTCGAGCGGTGTCCTTTGCTTGCCGCCATTTCTCTTGACATGAAAACAATGGTTCCGGGATACCTGCGGAAGGGTGCCTTCTGCCGTCTGCTAGGGCTTTGGTTTGGGACTGTCCGCGAAAATCGCCGCATAGTTTGACTCCGAGTTTTGTTGCGTGGTTGCTCTTGGCCCGCGAGGGTCAGCCGCGAAGGTTACTCTTAGTCCTTCCACGAGCTGCTCAGAAACCTTCCGGCGGAAACCCGCACGTCTGGCAGAGGCGTTTCGCAATTTCTGCTCCTTGAAGAAAAATGGCCGTGATGGGGTTCATATGTCACTTTATGCATGCAGCCTACAGTATGAGACACCCTGAAAGGCCAACTTGGTTTGTCCGTTGGTTCGTCATTGAGCCAGTGCATTTCCCAGTTTACTCCACCCCCTGAAACCTCTGCCAAGACTCCGCTACAGTGAGCATTTTGAGGGCCTTGAACTGCACCCAGAGATTTTCTGGGATTTAAAAAATCATCTGGTGCCAGAAGGGGATGTTGTTTTTTGAGCCACATGAGTCATTTTTTGCCTCTCCACTATATATGTAAACGGTCGGCGGAAGGTTGAATAATTTCATGTGAATTATAAGGGAATAACAAACACTACTCAAATGGGGATATGTTGTCTTTTTCCAACCCCCTCCCAAAACAGCACCCTGGTGCTCATCTGCCAGGCCATGATCTTGGACCAGTTCATCGCTGAGGCCGTGACTCAAAACACACGTCTCCGCCAAATTGACTTGATCTGTTTGGGTTGACTAAATCGCTCCGATAGGGAACCTCTTGCAAAGCGGTGGGCACGAATCCCCGCAACGCAATGTTCAGGAAGGTCCCTAGTTAAAGTTTAATCCCACATATGAAGCGGAACATCGGAACTCGGTGGTGTCCTTCACTTCAGTCAGACAAGACATTATGCTTCTTGGCTGTATTGAAAAGACATTGTCGAGTCAGTCGTGAATGGAACTAACAAGTGCGTTTTGTGTGTCCGTGGAACGGTCAATTCTCACGCCCTTTTAAGTTTATAATATCACAGGGCTTTTTGCCCATTTGAAACATGGCTTTTTCCACCAAAATAAAGGGAAACCACCATTTACAAGGCAATGTTCAGGTGTATAATGTAAGGATCCCTGTAAAAAGCTTCCCCCTTCCTCTAGCATTCTAGGAGGATTGTATTCGCTTTGACCTTTAAGCGCCACTTTGGGCAGTGTATATTTGGGAAGACCAGCTTTCTAACAATGTGCTCAAAAAACCTAAGCGGGGGCCCCTAGGGTTTCATAGGTTGTTAGTTTCTCCTTGAGCGAACTGACCCTGGCACACAAAGGGGATGAGGCCATGTTTTTTGAGCAGCTCTGTTTTCCCAAGACGGTTTCCCACAGCCCGGTTCATGCAAACAGCCCCAGAAAGATCTAGTCGGACGTTTGACGACCCCTGCCAGCCCAATTCAAGTGAGAAGCCCGAATCCCCCATTGACATGTTCAAAAGGGAACTCAGCTTGTGAGACCCAACCAATAAACTACTATTGATGGTCGCGGAATCAGTTCGCACTACTTGAAACCGTGGTTGAAACTAAGGAGTCATCCTTTCAGGGTTTCTTGGGTGGTCCAGGATTTGGTCCATCCACAGTATGTTTGATAGTGGTCCATATGTAGGGAACCCTAAACAAGCAACTCATTTCAATAGAGATTCCAGAACTACCCATTTGCTTGTCTCTTCAAAACTGGGCTAGGGAGGGATGAATCGGATTAAAGCCTTCCGAGCCTTGCTCCCTCTCATGCTCTTTCATACGTCCAAAAAGACCACCCTCAGACCAATAAACATCTGATGAGAGTCCCACGCACGAGTGCCGAACTGTGGAACAAAGGACCGCCAAATGGGGTGGACATGGATCGTCTTGTAAATGACGCCCGCCAAGGCGTCCATGTCCAATCAAACTTAGACTTAGATGCTCTCATGCAGGATGATAAAGCCCCCCCCCGCGCGTGCGCGTGTGCGTGCGTGTGCGTGCATGCGTGTGTGGGTGCATGCGTGTGTGGGTGCATGCCTGTGTGGGTGTGTGGGTGTGTGGGTGTGTGGGTGTGTGTGTGTGTGTGGGTGGCTGGCTGGCTGGCTGGCTGGCTGGCTGGCTGGCTGGCTGGCTGGCTGGCTGGCTGGCTGGCTGGCTGGCTGGCTGGCTGGCTGGCTGGCTGGGTGCGTGGGTGGGTGGGTGGGTGGGTGTGTGTGTGCGTGGGTGGGTGCGTGGGTGTGTGGCTGTGTCTGTGTCTGTCTGTGTCTGTGTGGCTGTGTCTGTGTGTGTCTGTGTCTGTGTGTCTGTGTCTGTGTGTCTGTGTCTCTGTGTCTCTGTGTCTCTGTGTCTCTGTGTCTCTGTGTCTCTGTGTCTCTGTGTCTCTGTGTCTCTGTGTCTCTGTGTCTCTGTGTCTCTGTGTGTCTCTGTGTCTCTGTGTCTCTGTGTGTCTGTGTGTCTGTGTCTGTGTGTCTGTGTGTCTGTGTGTCTGTGTGTCTGTGTGTCTGTGTGTCTGTGTGTCTGTGTGTCTGTGTGCCTGTGTGGCTGTGTGTCTGTGTCTCTGTGTCTCTGTGTCTCTGTGTCTCTGTGTCTCTGTCTCTGTGTCTCTGTGTCTCTGTGTCTCTGTGTCTCTGTGTGTCTGTGTGTCTGTGTGTCTGTGTGTCTGTGTGTCTGTGTCTGTTTCTGTGTCTGTGTGTGTGTGGGTGTGGTGTTGCTTGGCTGTGGCCCAGTGGTGCCCGTCATTGCTAGAGGTTTCGTAGCCATATAGCCAAATCCTCCCCATTCTCAAGGATCTTTAGGATCCTTATGTTTTGAAAGTTGCCGAAATGTCAGGGAAATGGGAGGTTTCTGAAAACAAACAAGAATGAACAAAATGGGGAATTAACCCTTAGAACTATTGTAAACCTTTGGTATGTTTGCTAAGTTTGACATGACGGTAGTTTTCCCCAGTGATCTACAAGAACGGCGGCAGGACAAAAAAGCCCGCTCCAGGCAGCAGTTGGATGTAGTAATTCGACCAGTCATAGGCCTTCATTCTACGTGGCGTAGATTTGGTCCATCCACAGTTTGTAACCTTATTCTGGGGTCAATATTTTGATTGTTTCCAGGTGTTATCAAAGCCAGCTGGGGGTGTTTCCCCCTTAAGCTGTCACTTGGCGGGTGACTTTGGTAGTGATAAATAATGGGACCAGTTTTACAGGGTTGCTCCAAACGGAATGGTAGCTGGGTCCATCCATCGGAAAGGCGGATTTGGCGCTTGCGACGTTCCCTGGCTCCCTGAAGGCAGGCACGGGCAACCCACCCGCAACCCTGAGGGCCCCACCAGCTGTCAAGTGTTCAAGGTTCCTGGACCACAGCCCCTTGTTGGGAGGACCATTTTAGTGCTAAATAAAACGTGTGGACTTTTTCTGGCCAACCCCTCAGGAAGTGAGAAAACGTATGGGGTTGGGCTCCCTTCAATGGGAACCTCGGATTCCTCAACCCCAGTTTATTGATAGGGTGTCCCGGTCAACAAGGAAACATGTTTCCCCGTGTTTCAGGATGTGTTTTGAGATGAAGCCAGTTCGTAGCAGCGACCCGTTGGGCAACTTCTTTAAACGAGAGGGATTCTTCACAAAAGCCAGAGTCCATACCGTTTCAGGCGCAGAGTGTTTGAAACGTTGGCTGTGCTTGAGCTTTTGAAAGCAGACAAAGACGCTCAGTGGCATGTACTTCCTTCCACTGGCATTGTCTCACTGTACTTCTTTTACTGGCATGCGCATCAAAGAAACAAGGAGCTGTGGGGGGTTCAAAGATACAAGTATAGTTTGGAGCTTGCTTATTTCCCCCTTTGTGTCTCTTTGTTTCTTTCTCTTGTGTCTTCTCTTTGTGTGCATCTTTCTCTGCTGGGGGTTCTTTCTTGTTATCCCTTTTCTCTTAGCATTTCATCTTTGATGTGTCTTTTTTATCCTGCTCTTTCTCGTTCCATTCCTTGTTGCTCTCTCCCTCTCTAGCGAGCACGGACACAAACACAGTTTTGATGTCTAAACTGTTTGGGCAGATCATTTTGGTGGTCAATAAAATTTTCAGGCTGTTTTGGCCACTGCACTCAGGAAGTTTGAAGGGTTCCAAACAGAAAGTTGAGAAGAAGGAACCTGAAGGTCCACTCAAGCGGCACTCGATCGATCCGAGCGGCTCCGCCAGGACAAACCTCCCAAACTGAAAGCCCAGCAAGGGGCCATCTTTTCTACAACTCACCATCTGCAAATATTTTGGTGTGAGTGTTCGGGCTAGAAACCCTTTTCAGGTGGCTGAGGCGCTTTGCGCACACATGGAAGAGCCATTTCACGTAGGGCCATGTCTTCAGCCAGCTTCCTCTGGGTGCAGTGCAGTTTAAATCTATTGTCAAAGAAAGCACGCTCACTTAGTCACAGATGTTCTTGTTGCATTTCGGTGCCCAAGACTTGGGAGTAAGTTCGGGATGGGCAAGACTTGCACGATGATGGGATTTGGATGGCATGCGGACCACCAGCTCACCAGCTTCTGAAGCAGCTGGAGCTCCGACATGGGCGGGTCGAGCAGTTAATTTAGATGCTGTATGCTGGAAAGCAGCTTTTTTGAGTTGGAATATATTTTTGCCACTTCTCTGGCGGGTACCTGAAACTACGAAGGCATTCTTGCGCAAGGCACGTGGAAATTGTTGATCGATAAAGGTAGTTGCTAAGTTATCCTGCGCAGTCTGGAGGAAATGGCAGTTAGTAGGTAGTATTCCGCGCGGTCTGCAGGAAACAGCAGCTTGTAGTGTGCCACGACCACTACCACCACACCACCACGTTTGTCACGACCACCACGTTTGCCACAACCACCACGTTTGCCACAACCACCACCACCACCACCACCACCACCACCACCACCACCACCACCACCACCACCACCACTACCAGCACCACCACAACCACAACCACAACCACAACCGCCACCACCACCACCACCACCACCACCACCACCACCACCAGCACAACGGCCTACTACTGCTAAAACGACCTCTGCTACTAGTACTACAATATCATACAGACACATAGGCTAATATGTTTGATCCTGGCTGAATTTGTGTTGGATCCTTCAGCCCCCAATAGGCTATGGACTCACTGTCCTCAGGTGAACCCAGGCTTCATGAAAGCCGGGGCCCCAGCGATGGTTGTCATCAGTGCTAGTCCAACCCATGTCAGGAGGGGCCTGAAAAACCCGGCGCGCTGCCTTGTTCCTTGTGCTTGGGTCAAAAAACGGCCGACCCAACTTGATCGGGCAGAGGGCAAATCTTGCGGACGCTCAGCGGGTGGCTTTTTCGGGATTTTCTGCTTTTGGGGGTGTTCTTGAAAATCATTTGCCGAAAAAGGCCCCTCCCCCTTTTTTGCCCATCCAGTTGATACCTTCTTGGGAAGGCCTGTTGTTGAACAATCAATGCTGCAGAAATGGAGCGAAAGCCATGTCTGACCTTATCATGATCCTTTTCTATTATTTGGGTTGCTGAAGCGTTGCAACCCTCCAGAAGCATCAGAGTGGATGTGGAAGTTGTTGAGTAGCCTTTGGTGTTTGCCCTCAGCTTTTTGTGCCCTGAGGTTTTTGTCTGGGAACAGGCTTCCTGAGAGTTTGGGGGCCTTCCGCTTGTGGGCTTCACAGTTTTGGAGGTTCCTCGGAAAAACCCAACAAAGAGCCTTGAAAAGGGCTCCATTCCCCAGGAAACTCCCGAAGCGACTGTTCTTTGGAAGTTGGATTGAAGCTAGACAAGTTATAGCCAGCTCACTGGCCTGAGGCGAGCCCCAAACCCCGAAGTACGAGGTGGTTTCCGAAATAGGGATTTCTCGAATCTGCTGGGTGTTATTCGGCGCACCGGGGCTTCATCTACCACGCCAAGTGTGGCCAGGTGTGCGAGAATCCGACCCCCTTAAAAAACTTGAAAGCACACATGTTTTAGACAATCCGACCATATCCGACCCCTGAATTTCATTAACACGGGCATCATGAACCAGCCGTTTCTGCTTATTTCACCCCAAACTGCTTGAAATCGCACATGTTTGAGCAAGTCCGGCCCTTCCCGTGTCACATTGAGACGGGCATCACGTTCTCAACAACCAGCCGTTTCTGCTTATTTGGCCTTCAAACGCTTGAGAACACACTCGTTTGAGAAAATCCGGCCCTTCTTCTCTGTCTCTCATTAAGACTGGCCTCCCTTCTCTGTCTCTCATTGAGACGGGCATCAGGCTCTCCAAAACCAGCCGTTTCTGCTTGGTTGGCCTTCAAACGTTTGAACATACACTCGTAAGAAAACATCCGGCCCTTCTCTTTCTCTCATTAAGATTGGCCTCTCAAAAACCGGCCGTTTCTGCTCAATTGGCTTTGAAAAGCTTGAAAACACACGTGTTTGAGAAAATCCGGCAGCATCAAGTTCTCAAAAATTAGCAATTTCTGCTTATTTGGGCCACCCACGCCACCCACCCACCCCACGCCCCCCCACAACCCCCCCCCCCCCCCGGGTTCCCCGCGTTCCCCATGAAGCCAAAGGAGCAAAGCAAGGGCCAAGGTGAGCCACGTTCTCAAAACCCTGTGGTAGATGAAGGTTAGTAAAGGCCAATCCCAGCCATAAATAGCTGCGGATATCCGCCTTCTTAATCCTGTACATGGTTCTGGGTAAGCCATTTTTCTACCGGGTTGTGATTATGACTCAGGTGAGAGTAAGCCAGCAATTGAGTTTGGCTTCTCTAGACTCTATTTCATAGACCGGTTCCACACGCTTTCCAGTTGAATATCCCGCCCCGCAAATGGGTGTTCCTACTGGTCGGCACGTAAGCCGTTTGTTTGAGCCCCTGCTCCAACCATTGCATTGCAAGAGGAATTGGGGCAGCACCGCCAAACATGTGGGCGTGTCTTTTTCTGCGGCCACATTTTGTTTGTTTTGTTTTGTTGTTCATCGACATACACTCTTTTTTTGTTTTGGGGTGGGGGGCCTGAAAACAGACTGATGTTTTGTGGCAAACACGGGTGTGGAACAGAATCGGAACTTTGTTTCCGTGTATCGCGGATTTGGGCCAAGGTGGATGGCCTTAGAAGCATTAGTTGCTTCCACTTCTCAACAAGAGTTATAAGGTAAATCCTGATATAATGGCCTTGTTGTACCTTTTCGCGTGTCACTGACAATATTGCTGTTCATTTGGGGAGGACCATGAGGGAACCATCGCGGGCCAACGACCTTCCAAACGACCTAACCAGAGTAAGGACGCCTATTTGATGGGGCTGGGGGGGAGGGAGGAGGGGGGGGAGGGAGCCCAAATACGCCCTGAATAAGGCCTGAATAAGGGCTTACTAAGGGCTTAGTTGGGCGCCGGTCAGAGACCGAAAATGGTGGGGCAACCCGTCCATTTTCCCCGCAAAAACCGCCAAGACGAGCCCTGAAATCCCGTTGGCCAAGGCCGCCGAGGTCCGGATCCCGAGACCAGTACCCACGTTCCAACTGTTTCGGTTGTGGGGGGGTTCAAGGGAGTCCGCCCCCCCAAAGTTTCCAAGGTCACCATGTTTTGTCATTTGTATGCCCAGTCAGAATATGTTCAAGCTAGCAGCTTCAGGTGTCCCTAGTTTGTGGCTTCCAGCTTCGTTGGCAGCCTTACCCAAACAGGGGAGGGCAGGAATGCGCAGACGCGACCTTCCCGGGTGAGTGTTTGCAGCGAGCGCGGGTTTCGTCACGCAGGCAGCATGGAACGCGCGTGCGCGGCTGCTCGTTGGTGACGATGAAAGATGCATTTTGCGCGTCGGCGTGGCTGTGAAGCATGCTTCACATGAACCACATGCCTCGACAGAGGAACTATTAGACTGGTGATGTTTGCGCCATACAAGCCTATGCATGTTAGTTTTTGGTTTTTGTTTACAGGACAACTCTTGCCTCGTTGAAACACAAGGCTGAGGTCCATGTTGCCAATGAGCACGAAACAAGCCAGCCTAGTTGCTCATTTCTTCCCTCGCTCCCAGGATCATGTTGTTGGGCATGCTTTGCGCCACCTGCCCCCCTTGCGCCCGCGGAGGCCGCGGCCTCGCATGATGAAAGATTGCAGCAGATGACGAAGAATGGGTGCGGATTAAGAGTTGGTAGTCAGTTCGCTCCGAAGCCATATAGTTTGGGCGGCCAACGAGGGATGAGACGGACTTTGGAACTTCATACCAGCGGGCGCAAGTCCTCTTGAATTTCTGAGGAGAGGCGGTTGGGTCGTGAGAGTTATTGTTCCGGGAGTGGTTTGTACCATACCTACCGTTCCTTGAAACACCGGGAGTTTGAGCGGCGGTCTTCACTTCCTGTATTTTTGCAATCATATCGGATCTGATCAAGAAGTTTTGGAACAAACTTGGGATATTTGAGACCAACATGTCTCGCTTGAGCGTCCTGCACTGACGCTTGTCGGGCTGAACTTCTCTTCGTAAGCGCGGTCATCGCGTGCCGGCTTTGAATTGCGCGGTTTTCAACATGTCCCGTGACTTTCTCTAGGTGATGTTTCACGGCGAATTGTTTTCTTTGCTGGATGGTAAATCCTGTTTTCTGAGCAGTGCCTTCAGCAAACGGAAGCTGGCCGAATGGTTAAATTAGGCGCCAGGTATTTCTGTGCACCAGCTGTGTGGCACCAGGTGTGTGTTTCTTCTTTTGCCGTGGGTTTTCCCACCTTCCGCAGCGCTGCATTTTCTTGGGGCACACTGGAAGGGCTCGAACGGTTCATGTGTGCTGAGGCTCATCCTTGAGAAGTGCTTTCGAATGAGCAAAACCACTTGCAGGATGCTTATTCTGAATTCGGCATGCGCAACCAAAAACCTGCGAACCAGTCCTCAGTCAAAGTTGTTGCGTCCATGGCGACTGTCAAATCATTTGCGTGCAGAATTAGAGGAGGTGTGGGTTGCACCGTCAATTAAAGTTGGCAGTTGTGGCTTCATTGAGTTGAAGCCATCTTGTCTCACTTCCCCAGTTTCTGGACTATAAGTTGTTTAGGGAACATGGTCTAACGTTCAAGTGGTAAACGCAAGTCTAGGCTTTCTTTGACCCACTGAAAGAAGGGAGTTGTTTGGACTGTCTTTGTTCCACAGGGTCACTCTTGGAACCCTGCCGCCCACAAACAGTGGAACGAAAATTTAGATCAACCGCAAAACCATGTTCCAATCTGTGGTGACTCTTAATGGAGGGCAAAGTCTAAGGCTCCACACTCTAATCGTTTCCACGTTCTTGTAGCTGCCCAGATGGGGCAACCAACGCGGCTAGCCTTCGCTAGTCGCCTGGAGTGGGGTAGCGCGACGACGGATGGAAAATCTGCACTGCCTTGACATTGCTTGACTACTTGCTCCCGAAAAAAGGGGTCTAAGTTAGAACCAATGAGACGACGTGTCTAGTGTCTTGTAAACGGGCCCGAATCTGTCGCCAATGTCCATCTCATTCCGACAAAGCCTCGCAGACCCTATGGCAGGTTCCAAAGGTTTTGTTTCCGATCTGCCAATTTAGGAGGGGCTCTTTGATTTTATTGCCATACCGGTGGCAAGAGCTGCTGTGGAGATCATCTCTTTTCTTGCGATCACATTGAGATTTGGGCAACTTGTTTGATGGGCAGGTGAGGCTGCACTTGTTAGACGTGTTGCAATTGCATTGGGCTTTGATCCACTCATTGCACTCATTTTACTACTCATTCCCGCCTTAGCTTGATTGGGACGGCGCGGGCTGACTTTAAATGAGGATCTACAGGGGCTTCATATTCCACCCCAAGATAATTCCGGATTACACCCTTCCAAAAAGTGAACACGGCATGATCTAGAAATATCATCAAATGGAGGAATCCTGGGGTGAAGAACAGAATCCTTGGGTTGCACATGGACGGTAATTAGAACGGGTGTTGTGCGCTGCAACTTGTTGATGGAGGTGTTGCCCAAGGGTTCTTCGTCTACTTAAGCAAAGCAGGTATCGCCTCCAGTCGGAAGCGAAACAGCCGAGAGCAAATTGTGCTCAGATCACCACCTGCAAACCACTTTCCCTTTTGGAAAACAAATGGCCAATTAGCTTCAACTCCTCTTGGGGGTTCTCCTCTAAGTTCCTTTTGGGGTCTGTACGGTTGATCAAAAGGTTCTGAAGAGATGTGATGATTTTCCTTCGGGCGGCGTGTTTGCGCGCTCATGTGGCTGCAAATATTTCAATCAGGAATCAAAGATGTTTGGCGGACAGAAATCCCGGTTTGAATGATATCCGTTGGTGGGTTCCCAACTAAAATTCACTCAGCACGCCGCAATCGACCCCGAATTCATCAACCTGGCAGCCTTTGTTGGAGGGGTTTCTGCCAAAAAGTAAAGATCCCTCCAAAATGTTTGGTCTTGCAGAAGTACAGCCATACTTGGCCGCCTCAATCTGATGAAGCGGGGAGTACCGGTACCACCTCCTAATCAGGGGTTAGTAGGTGTTCAACCCATTCATATCCGACATGAATCGGCTAGGTCCCCCAGTAGTGCCCTTTTTACTTTTTTTGGGGGAGGGTCCCCTACTAAAATAGACTACAGCAAAAAGTTGGTCCCAACTTATTCTAACCTCTCTACTGAAGGACCTAGATTAGTAGCCGTTCAACCCCATTCATATCCAACACACATCGGGCAAGCCTTCGGCCCAGCGCGTTTGGCTCTGACCCGGAAGCCCGAGTTGGTCCCTCGCAAGCCCCGCAAGCGGGCCGCGAGTCCGCGAGTGCGTCAGTCGGCCAAGCAGCACTTTACAAGAATCACGCACCTGTTGATGAAGACAGAGAATCAAAAGCAGCACCACAAGAAGACGCAGAGTGACAAGCGGCAGGAACGCCATGTTCATGTTTGTTTTTCTACAGTGTGCCGTTGCTGTCTTTTGCCCTGACCGGTGAGAAGCGGGCGGTTTTCGCCTGAATCGCCGATAGGGATACGGGCCACACTTGGGCCACACTCGTGCAGTCGCCGCTCGCCTTCAAGGCGGGCGGGGATTACGTGTTTGGGACATGGTTGAGTGATAGTGTGTGTGTGTGTATGTGCTGTTTCAGGGTACCCATATATTTTTGGTTTAAAGAGAAACTACAAATAAAGCCATCATTTTGGGGGTCGCTCAATTTTTGCACATACCCATACGGCTGCGATTTATGGTGAGTTCCCTCCCAAATGGTGCACACAAACCCCCATTGGAGGGTCAGTTCACATCTGGAAACTTGATGGTTCGCCGCCGTCCCCTTAGCTTTTTAGCTTTTTAGGGTTTAGTGGTAGTTTCCATTCCACCTAACTTTTACCAGTGGATCTGAGGGCAGCTTAGGAAACTAAAAGAAACCAAAGGGGCAATGAGCCAGGTGGTTGATACATGGTGTCAATGCTGTTGACTTGCGTTTTACAGGAGTAACCACGAGTGTGCTGGGTATGGCTTAGGTAAGAGAACGAGAACCCTCCCTTTGGCCATTCCATTTCTCTGCTTGCCTTTTTACCCCTGCGGATGAACATGGAGTGAAGACAGCAAACACTTAGGTCGCGGAATCTTCCTTGGGTTCACCTCCTTTTTGGGCTGCGTTTGAGTTAGCAGGGGAGTAACTCGGAGATCCAAAAGGGGTCAATTTCACCGGCGAAAAAACTGTTCATTGGTCTCTCGCGAAACAAAGATTGGCCCCCAACGAGGATGGGATTGAAATCAAGGCGGTGGTTCGCCGGCGGCAAACCACCAGGTTTGCGGAAATCCGAGGTGGGAAATCCTTTCTCTTCCCAACCTGATGACCTCGAATTCAAATGAGCGTGGCTTGGAGGGCACCCTTTTTGGGGCTGGTTTTAAGGGCAACTAAAGGAGCGCCCCCAGGCAAACAAAAGGCTTGCCGTGTTTCACTCGGCTCGAGTTTGTAATTTATCATGTGGTTTCCCTTGTGTGTGTGTGTGTTTTGTTGAGGCTACCCTTTTCAGCTCGGTTGATGCGTCTGCCACCATTTCCCCCCATTTTGGCATATGCTATCCAGACGGCTCTTACGAGTCCGGTCTGAGCCCGGAGTTTCCGCAAGCGATTGACTGGCCACAGCCCCAAAAAGGTTGAACACATGTCCCGAGTTCCGCTGCTATAATACCCAGCCCCATGAGGAATTCAGGGCACATACCAAAATTCCTCCGGCAGGCGATCCAGATACTTCGGGGTCAAGACAATTTAGAGAGTCGCCTCTGATAATATCCCAGTTCCGTGGGGTTTGGCGGCTTGATTTCTCAGGAAGGAACCAAGTTGCGAAACCAATCGCAAGTTGGTGTTTCCAACTTTTGCTTCACTCTCGGCAAGGTGTTTTTGTGTTAGGGGACTGCAAAGGCAAGGTGTTTTTGCATGCCCACTCCAAGGGTTGCGCAGTTTGAGAGGGTGGCCATGCACTGACGTCGCGTCAGGACAGATGCTGGGCCGGAAGCCTCAGGGCTTCAAGTTGCGCGAGGCCGTTCAAGCCCTTGGCTTCAGGGCTTCAGTTCATGGACTTTATAATTTTTGGGAAGACCATGTTGGTGAAAGTTCGGACCTTTTTTGGCCAATCAGCTCAGGAAGTGAGTAAAAGATCTCCATGTTGCAACCATTTGAAACATGTGGCTTTTTCCACACCAAAATCAGGGTTGAAACCACCATTTACAAGTTGCAATGTTCAGGTGTCCCAATACATGCCAACCAAAAGGGGTCGCACATCCAGTTTGAGGAACTCTCATATATGGGTGGGTGGGTGTTTTTGTAGCACCCTTGGTGGGCATCACAGTTCGGTGGGGATTCACGTCCACCAACCACTTTGGAGCTCTTGAAATTCAGAGCCATAGTTTTTAGGATGACTTCGCTTTGGGCTGGTGTGATCATGTTGGTGGTTTCAGAGTCGAGCCATCACAAATAGAATGCCAAGAAGACTCAAGCCCCCATTTTCCATGGCAGGCGTTCTATTCCCAAACAGATAGGGGATAGCAAGCAGGTATAGGTTGCTCCTTTCCGTTTGGTCAAAAAGGCCAGTTGCTGTACCCCAGATTTGTGTCGGCAAGTGGTAGGCAGGGTTGCTGTCAACTCAAGCCACCGAGCAGAAACCGAATTGGCAGTCGTGAAAGACTGACCCAAGCTAAACCAACCAAACCTGCCGAGAACAGAAGGAACCACATGGGAGAAAAGCGAACAAGGCAGCCAAAACAAACGAACCAACCAATTCTCAGAACATTCGGGGATCCGAAATCCTCCGTTTGCTTAATAATATGTTTTTTTGATTATTATTAGTTTCCCTTCTTGGCTTTGAAAGGAACTCATCACTACTGGAAAGGTGTTTTTTCTTGGGGCCTTAACCAAATGGAGGTAATGGGAAGTCAGGATTAGTTGCCTGGTTGATCTATGAGCTTCCTTCACCCTGAGCACCTGGCAACTAAGCGGTGATGCCTGTGACCCTGCGAGGTCTGCATTTGTTTTCCTTAAGAAAAAATACAACCAGTCGCGTGCGTGTTCTTCAAGCAAAAGTGCCCCACGTTTTCGGGCAACCCTTAGATTTCGGTTTAGATCTCGGTTTGAGATTTCGGGGCCCGCTCCAAGTTAGCCAGATTATAAGCTAGGTTGCGATTCTTACCATCTGTTCAGAAGTGGACATGGGGGTTTCCTCAAAAGGAAGTCGTCGTCCGAAACCCTCCGATCGTCAGCTTCCATGACTACACTCCTTCAGACTAAGTTCCCAGAAGGCCGATCCTGTAAATGGAACAAAGTCTTTCAAAGAGGTCCCTTCGGGAGCTTCCACGTTAGTGTGGTGAGGGCCAACAACCGTCTTCAGGTTCCAAAGGCCCAAAATGGCCGGGGGTCCCAGGGGTTCCACAGCTCCAAAGGGCTCGCTCACCCAAGACCCGAGGCCTTGCCGTGGGGCGCGGAGGGCTGGGAGGGCGCAAGGGGGGTGCCTACGGCGAATGAACCCCTGGGAATGAAGCCAGTTGTTTGGTCCCAAAAAGGTCCCTCCTGGGAATAAGTACATCCTTAGAAGAAGAAGAAGAAGAAGAAGAGGATACTTGGACCCTCTGGGCTTGGTATTTGCCGTGGAATATAATCATTCCAGAAGGCTTCTGAACGGTGCCAAATGGAGTTTGTCCTTCCACAGTTGCTCTTGCAGTTTTTGTGTTGTTTTCTGGTGGCCCATTTTTGGGAAGTTATGATGTCTCTTGGTTGATGCTGGAACTTGGTGATCTTGTTCTAGCCGATTTTGCTGAGTGGTTTCCCCTCGCCCCAAGCATCTGTTGGTAGTTTCTTGGTTTCTCTTGGTTTCTCGTCGTTTTCTTTTCTTGGCATGGGGGGGGGTTTTCCTGTAAGATGGGTCACCGGACCATATTCGGGCAAGAATGCCCGGTTGGTTGGAATGTTGTCGTGGGTTTGGAACCAAAATAAGGTCACACTCTCCGGTGCCTTGGTTCCTTCTCTTTGCCGTGGGGGGGTCCCTTTATCATGGTTGTTGTTGGGAAACATTTTGCATTTTTGTTTATTGTGGTTTAGTGGTTGAACCCCCACTGAACTGCTAAAATTTATCTTTTTGCTCCCCTTCCAACGTCAACCAAGATTTTATAATCGAACAGAGAAGAAGGAGGTCGCCCACTCACGGCGTACTTCGCTGTGGCTCCCCTCAAGCACGAGTCTGGGACTTGAATTGCCCAGGTCATCTTTGCATCGATCCTATAGATCAGCATAATATATATATATATATAATATGCACATTATATGTTGTTTGGTTTATTTTCAAAGTACTGAGTTGTGGGTTGAACATTGAAGGCCCAAACCAATACATTTGACAATTCTTGTATTTTGTCCAGTCATCAATCAGCCTGGTTGCTGATTGGGCCATTGCCTTTAACTATAATTTGGAGATGTTCACTGAAATGGAACGTTTTTTTTGCCTGCCCGGTCTATGCCAATTGATGTGGCAGTTTTTTTTTTTTAACCACGTCCACACAAACCGTCCCAAAAAAAGTCCAAGTGACTCTTGAGGATTTTGTTTGGGGGGCAAAAGCGGCAAAAAAAGCGGCACAAGGTACATCCTTAGAAGACACTTGGCATTTTTGGAGGTGTTTTCTTTGGCCGCCTGATTTTTGGATGGGACCTGTGGGGAGGTACGTTGAAGATTAATGTCCTTTTGAAAGGGACCCCCTGTACTGACAGAGGGAGGGTACTTCGTCCAAAACGGGATTTTGAAGATCTTGCAGGCTTGCGCTCGCCTCGGCGCAAGCGGAGAGAAGGCGCTCGAATTGGGGTGTTTTGGGGGTCTGTGGGGGCAGTCTGTGGGGGTTCTGTGGGGGCCACTCGGCGTTGGCAAAATGTTAGGCGCCCAATCTTCTCAAAAGGCAAGCCATAAGCCCAGACCTTGGTACCCCTTCTTCATGGAGGGGATGGAGCCAGGTTGAGACAAGTTCCTATCGGCTTGTGGTATATTCAAACCCTTTATAAAAATTGCACCAGTTGATAGCGGGCATATTTTTTGGGGCTGGTTCAGGGATTCACCTGAAGCTTGAGCAGAAAAGGGTTTCCAACATGTGGATGAGGATCAAAACTAAGTACCCAACATGGAACCCTGCTAAATGGACACAAGGACAAAGACCTGCGGTCCCGGTGGTTTGATGTTGATCCACGCCCATTTGCGGAAATGGACTGGTGTTGCGTAAAATCGTTGAAACTTAACATAGGGTCCTCCGGATTGATCGCGCGTTCGCGCAAGTGATGACTTTTCGCTCGTGGTTAGTTGGGGGCAATGTCAAATGGGTCTTTTCCAGACCCCCTGTACTTGGCCCACCCCCTCGCACCCACACACACCAAACATAAACATGTTCAGCATAGGTGTCCTTTTTGGGTGAGTTTGGTTAAAAATAGATGGCACTGGTTTAGATGGGGTTTATTCCATTTACCAGGGCCATCTATTTTCCAAAAGGCCAGCTATGATGCTCAGGTTCTGCTTGACACAAACGCGGCGCTACTTTCTCCACTGAGGGGATTCCCTTGGCATCTCAACCCAGATCCTGGGGTTCTGAACTGGGCAGCCGGGCACTTGTGGTCGATTCCAAAACGGGCTCCAAGAAAATGTCCAGAGAAACGGTCGCAAGCAACCCATTTGGGTCCAACCGAGCCAGCAACCCAAACTGGATCCGATTGATTTCTCTGCTTCGGCCTCCAAGAGCAGGTGAAGAAGCCGCCCCCGAAAAAATGGAAGGCTTGGTGGCCCCCAGCCGTCCGGTTCCTTAGCTTTTTAGGCTTTTAGGGTTTAGTGGTAGTTTGCATGTAACCCACTCAAAGTCAAACTTTTAGCAGGGGATCTGAGCGCAGCCCAGGAGGTCATCTTCTTGCTAAGGGAACCGGATCCGAAGCCCTTCACGTTCGCATGGTTTGCCGCGCATTTGTTTGTCCCGCAGGACAGTGCAAGGGATCAGTTACGGGCGCCGCCCTGAGAGGTCAACAGTCAAAACTGGTGAGTTTTGGGTGCAAAAGTCTCGAAAAGCAACATGGTCCACTTAGTCCACGCGTGGGGAAGTCTCGCACTTGCCTTGCAAAGCCACCCTTTGGTAGCCCTTGTCAACGGACACACACCCTTTTTCAGGATCCTCCAATTGGTTCTTCGGGGCAGAAATTGTGCGCTGTCGTCGAGGCCCTTTCCTTGGGCCCATCTTAGGTCGAGGTTTCTTTTAAGGAAACCATCAAAGTGACCCACATCAGCTTGGACAGCAAATAGGCTAGCAGGGATAGCAAGAGATTGGCTGTTCCTGTCCATTGTCATCGGTGGTTCAAACCAAAAGCTGCGAATATCTGCAGTCGCGTGCACATAAGGCCAGGTGGTGTACCCCAGATTTGGGCCAAGGCAAGTGGTAGGCAGGCTTCCTGTCAACTGAGCCAAGAAAAACGCCATAGCCCTGCAGTCGGCCAGTTTCCATTCTGAAGTGTTTGGTGATGCGTCTGCGTTCATCAACCTGAACTTGTTGGGGTGCTCCCCAAATTCCTTTGAGAGATTTGGGGGTCCATTGGACATGGGGGGCGAGCCACAGTCCATCCCAATTTGTCTTCGTCGGTCATTTTTTATGCCTGGGGAGCTCTCGTACTGCAAGCTCTGCAGTTGGATGTGGTTGGATACTTGCAATGTTTAGGTAAAGGAAATTGATCTGAGGATTCAAGCTGTCGTTTTTGTTTGCTGTCGTTCTTGTTTGCTGTTGTTTTTGTTTGCTGTCGCTCCCTGCAGGGTCCTGGTTCTGCAACGCGACTCTGAACTTTTGTGGCGGACTCCTCATTCTCCCGCTTTAAGCAATGAACTCACAACGGGTCAGATGCAAACCGCTCGCGGCGTTGCGCCGCCGTCCGGAGTCCGGGGCCGTTTGACCAGGGGTTCGGGTGGCTTCGTCACACGCATTGGGCGGAACGCCGTGCACCAAGGCCGATGCCCTGCAAAGAGCCTTGCTTCGTTAGCCAGGACTGGGATGGACGAAAAATGTAGCCAGGGCTACCAAGGCTTGCAGAGGTTCAATAAGTCACAATGTGTTGACAGGGTCACTGGGATCAAAGTGGGATTTTTAGGGAGCAATGCGCACTTGTGCCTGTCGCGCGCGCAGGGCCCGGCCAAGTCAGAGACTTCCTGGTGAGGGGTTACGGTCTCCGCTTGGTGTCCCAGAAAAAAATGAAAAATGCGGATTCAACTTTTGCCGGTTGAGCAAAACGGCGTTTCACAAGCCCTTGTGAACGACGCACCACCCCAAGTCGAAGACACGGCCGACCCTTTCGCACCCACCCGCAAAGAAGAGATTGTTTCAAGCAATATTTGCATTGCCCCACGGGTAGAACACACTGTATGTTGACCCCATAGTAGTCAACCCCAGTTTATTAATAGGGGGGTGCCCCTGGATTTTGTGGGGAATCATCACTTTTGGAAGGGAACACCCCCTATTAATAAATTGGGGTTGATGAATATGGGGGTCAACATGTTGGGGTCATGTCCATGTCAACCGGCTGTACTTCTGTTGCGTTTGGTGCATCAATGCTGTTTGGCAGGCTTCCAAGTTTGCTGTGGAACCGTTCTTGGCCATTCAGACTTCTGCTGCCACGCAAAACGGCCAACATGCGACTTCTACCACTTCCGTCTCAACTGCTACATGTCAGGCCGGAGGCTCAGGGAGACATTTAAGGTTTCCCCGACGATTGCAAGGAATCCGACACTTGGCTAGAAGTCGAGAGACGATCCGCATCCGGACCTGATCAGAGGGGCTGTGTCTCTTGACGGTGACCCAATACTGCTTCGGTGCGGCTCTTTGAACGGTGAAGCCGCGTATGACGACAGTTGTCCTAGGGACTCATTGCTTGATTCTAGCTGGTAGGGCAGGCGGCGGCTTGACAAGAGAGACCCTGTGAACCTATCATCACCTGGCAGGACGACTTCTTCTCGCAGTCTGCAAAGCCTATGACGCTCGGCCGAAGGTTTCTGAGCCCAAACCCACTGATTTGTCCCGTGAAAAGAGCGAAGGTTCAAACCGGGCGTTGCCTTTTGGACGGACGCCCTTGGCACAACGCGGGATAAACCCGCGGACGCCCAAATGGGATTAGGTTTCAGAAGCTCAAACCGGACGTGCTGAATTTGGAGGTCCTGTAAATGTCTTCTTCTGGAGGTCACACGTGAAACTCAGTTTCAGACCCCGTTTCGAACTCTGGCTTAGCTGGCAAAAGCTGAAGGCTTCGCCGGTTTGAAGCTTCAGGAGAAACATCACAGCTGCAAAGGTGCTCACAACTTGTACTCGTACTTAGGATATGCCTTGCGAACCTGGACAGTGGCTGAGGGGTGCCTGGACAAAATCCATTGCGCACAAGTTGGCATGGACGACACTATGAATACTGGGATAAAGCAACGAGCTGGATTCTTGTCCATCCACACCGACACCTTGTAGCCTATCGCTCTCCAGCTTTGGTCGAACTCTTCAGCCCCATGCTTGCAGCTCTTGGAATTGAAGCCTTCATGGGGTCTTGGGACAAGTCATGTGTTGTTTTGCTGGAAGAATTCAACGCATCTTGCGCAGGGAAACTGCCATGACTGGCAAACCACAGCGGAGGCATTGCCAATTCAACTGGTGGGTGTAAAAGGACGTGGCTCTGATTCCCACACAATCCATGTACTGGCCTGCATTTAAGAAGCTTACAGTCTTACAAGCATGTTTTTTGATTAAAAAATCTGCAAATGTTCGTGTGAAGTCAAGGTAACAATGATGAATAAGTCGTAATGAGCAGGCGTTGATGTTCGTGTAAAATTACGGTAACAAGGCTGCAAAAATCGTAAGGAGCATGTAGTGATGTTTGTGTACAACTGGTGAAAATGATGAATATGCGCTGATGTTCATGTAAATTTGCAGAAACAAAACATCAGCAATATGTGACAGTGTTTGTGAAATCATGGGGAAACAGCGGGTTCATGCTCATTTTAAACCAATGTACCTTGCTTCGTAGGATGCCAAACAAACATGGTGATGTGAGTTTTTTGGTGGTTCTGTGGTGGACAGCGTTGGCAGCGCCTGTCTTGTCGTCCAAGCCAGTTCTTCCTCCCCAGGCAGACAGGCGCCAGCGATCTCATGGCAGTTTTGCAGCTCCTGTCTCCACTACCAGGGCGAGCACGGTCCTCCTCCCCCCAAACAGACATGCGCCAGTGATTTTAACGCAACAAGGCTGGCCAAGCCTTGCTTAGTTACCCTGGTTCCTTCGACAGTTTCATCAGTTCGTTTGTCATGACTTGTTCAGCATGGCTGCCCCGTAGCTGAAAAACATATCCTGCGCATCACAGTTTTTTGCACTACAAGAAGCACCCCCGTTCCCCCTTTGACACCACAGTTTCCCCACTTGCGCCACAAGAGTTCCGCCTGTGTACAGCAGTTTTCCCCCTTCGCACCACAAGAATTTCCAACGCATAACGCTGTTTCCCCGTTTGCACCACAAGAATAGCCCTTGTATACTGCAGATTCCCATTTGCGCCACAAGAATTCTCCGTGTTTGCCGCAGTTCTCCCCTTTTATTTTGCACCGCAATAATTTCCGACGCATACCGCAGTTTGCACCACGCGAAGTCCAGCTGTATTCCGTGGATTCCCTCCTTTGCACCACCCAAAAATCGTCTAGTTTCCCGCATTTGCGCCACAAGAATTCTCGCTGTGTACAGCAGTCAGCAGTTTTCCCCCTTTGCACCACAAGAAGTTCCCACGTATATATAGCGCAATTTTCCCCCATTGCACCACGAGAATTGCCTTCCTTTGCACCACGAGAATTTCCCGTGCTTTCCCCTTGTGTGGCACAAGAATTCCGCTTGTATACAGCAGTTTTCCCCCAAATTTGCATCACAAGTTCCACGCATACCGCAGTTTCCCCTCCCCCTTTGCACCACAAGAATTCCACCTGTCTACTGCAGTTTTCCAATTCCGCAGGTTTATTGCAGGTTTGCCCTTTTGCAAGAGAATAACTGCCCCTATACTGCAGCTTTCTCTCTTCGCACCATGAGAAGTCCCCCTGTTTACCCACAGATTCCCTCTGTGCACCACAATAATCCTGCGCGGTTACTGCAGCGCCCTTGTTGCACCACAATGATAGCCTCTTTGCGTCGCAGTTTTCCCGCTTGTGCACAACCGAACTATACCGCAGTTTTCCCCACAAAACGTCCGCCCGCGTACAGTCTTCCCCCTTTGCGCCACACTATTTTCCCCGTTTGCACCCCAATCTCCCACATATACCGCAATTTTCCTTCCCCCTTTGCACCACGAGAATTGGTGCGAAGAGGATGTTCTCAGGGAGGATGAAGTGGCCTGAGCAACGCCAAGCGGGAGGCGCCGGCATTCTTGTGGCGCAGAAGGGGGAAGTTGTAATAGACACGCGGAACTCTGAAGGGGGGGGGGAAACCTGCTGTATAAAAGGGCAATTCTTGTGGTGCAAGGGGGGAAAACTGGCGTTCACAAAGGAAAACTGGGGAATTCTTGTGGTGCAAAGGGGGAAATCTGTAGAAAACAAGGACGACCAGACCACTCTCGGTTGGTGCAAAGGAAAAACTCTGTTGTGCGTTGGATGTTCTTGTGGTGTGAAGGGGGAAGCCACGGCATACAGCTAGACTTCTCGTGGCGCAAAAGGGAAAAACTGCGGTATAGATCATGTGAAGTTCCAAGGGGGAACAACCGCGGTGTATTCTTGTGGTGCAAAAGGGGAAGTTTGCGGGGCACAGGTGGATTTCTTGTGGTGCAAAGGGGGAAACTCTTGTGGTGCAAAGGGGGAAACTCTTGTGGTGCAGAGGGGGAGACTCTTGTGGTGCAAAGGGGGAAACTCTCTTGTGGTGCAAAGGGGGAAACTCTTGTGGTGCAAAGGGGGAAACTCTTGTGGTGCAAAGGGGGAAACTGCTGCGGTGCCAAGGGGGAAGCTCCTGTGGTGCAAAGGGGGAAACTCTTGTGGTGCAAAGGGGGAAACTCTTGTGGTGCAAAGGGGGAAACTCTTGTGGTGCAGAGGGGGGAACTCTTGTGGTGCAAAGGGGGAAACTCTTGTGGTGCAAAGGGGGAAACTCTTGTGGTGCAAAGGGGGAAACTGCTGTGGTGCAAAGGGGGAAACTCTTGTGGTGCAGAGGGGGAAATTCTTGTGGTGCAGAGGGGGAAACTCTTGTGGTGCAAAGGGGGAAACTCTTGTGGTGCAAAGGGGGAAACTCTTGTGGTGCAAAGGGGGGAACTCTTACTCTTGTGGTGCAAGGGGGGAAACTCTTACTCTTGTGGTGCAAAGGGGGAAACTCTTACTCTTGTGGTGCAAAGGGGGGAACTCTTGTGGTGCAAAGGGGGAAACTCTTGTGGTCACGGGGGGGGAACTCTTGTGGTGCAGAGGGGGGAACTCTTGTGGTGCAGAGGGGGAAACTCTTGTGGTGCAAAGGGGGAAACTCTTGTGGTGCAGAGGGGGAAACTCTTGTGGTGCAAAGGGGGAAACTCTTGTGGTGCAAAGGGGGAAACTCTTGTGGTGCAAAGGGGGAAACGGCAAAGGTTGTGGTGAGAGGGGAACTCTTGTGGTGCAGAGGGGGAAACTCTTGTGGTGCAAAGGGGGAAACTCTTGTGGTGCAAAGGGGGAAACTCTTGTGGTCTGGTGGTGCAAGGGGGAAACTCTTGTGGTGCAAAGGGGGAAACTCTGTGGTGCAAAGGGGGAAACTCTTGTGGTGCAAAGGGGGAAACTCTTGTGGTGCAAAGGGGGAAACTCTTGTGGTGCAAAGGGGGAAACTCTTGTGGTGCAGAGGGGGAAACTCTTGTGGTGCAAAGGGGGAAACTCTTGTGGTGCAAAGGGGGAAACTCTTGCGGCGCAAGGGGAAACTCTTGTGGTGCAAGGGGGAAACTCTTGTGGTGCAAAGGGGGAAACTCTTGTGGTGCAAAGGGGGAAACTGCTGTGTGCAAAGGGGAAACTCTTGTGGTGCAGAGGGAAACTCTTGTGGTGCAAAGGGGGAAACTCTTGTGGTGCAAAGGGGGAAACTCTTGTGGTGCAAAGGGGGAAACTCTTGTGGTGCAAAGGGGGAAACTCTTGTGGTGCAAAGGGGGAAGCTCTTGTGGCGCAGAGGGACAACCGAGCCCCGCGCGAAGAGCTGGAGGTCAGCAGGCGACGAGCTGGACAGGCGCCTGTCAAGGGAAACAATGGGCAAAAGTGCATTTTCCTTGTTTTCCATGCCATCTCCAGGCCTGCCATCCAATTTCCCTTTTTCCGTGTTTCTGCCACCGAGTTGTCCATGCCATCTCCATAATCATATCCAGACCCCAAATTTCCTTGCTTTTTGCTACGGGGAAAACCTGGCTTCCCTTTCCCACCCGGGAACTCTTGTGGTGCAAAGGGGGAAACTCTTACTCTTGTGGTGCAAAGGGGGAAACTCTTAAAGGGGGAAACTCTTGTGGTGCAAGGGGGGAAACTATTGTGGTGCAAAGGGGGAAACTCTTGTGGTGCAAAGGGGGAAACTCTGGCGGCGCAGAGGCTGAGGGACAACTGAGCCCCGTGCGAAGAGCTGGACAGGCGCCTGTCTGCAGGCGACGAGCTGGACTGCGTGCGCCTGTCAAGGGAAACAAATGGGCACAAGTGCATTTTCCTAGTTTTCCATGCCATTTCCAGGCCTGACATCCAATTTCCCCGCTTTTTCCGTGTTTCTGCCACCTAGTTTTCCATGCCATCTCCATATCCAGACCCCAAATTTCCTCGCTTTTTCCGTGTTTTTCCGTGTTTTTGCTACGGGGAAAACTTGGCTTCCCTTTCCACCCTTTCCGTGTTTTTGCTACGGGGGGTTTTCCATGCCATCTCCAGGTCCATATCCAGGCCCCAAATTTCCCCGCTTTTTCCGTGTTTTTGCTACGGGGAAAGCTTGGCTTCCCTTTCCACCCTTTTAACGGAACCCAAATCAGAACCCATTCCGCGCGCGTAGGGCGGCGCTTTGGGGTCCCG